TAGGGATTTTTTTTCAAGAAGACAAAATGTAGTATATGCAGAAACAGTATAAGTTTTAAACATTTTAAACTAGGGTGCTGCGCCCGCTGCACGCCAACATCACTCACGGTTGGCCCTTCCACACGAGAGGGTGGGAGGCTGCCCCGGCCCCAGTTCTCCTCCCTACCAATGCTCCCCCTCAGCTGGCGTGAGCACAGCTTCACAGGCTATTAGTCAGCCCCGCCCAGTCAGAGGCTCAGGGCTCCCTGCACAGAGCTGGCTGGGCAGGGCTGATTAATCATCTGAAGCTGGGCTGCCAAGCTTTCCGCCCAGCTGCTGGACAGGGGCGGAGAGAGGAGGGCCCAGCCATAGGACCCCCAGCCCTCCACCTGGGCACTGGGCAGGGCCAGGCTGGGGGTGGGTGGGGCTTGTTCCTATTCGACACAGTGACATGATGAAATCCCTCTGACATCCCAGAGGAAAAATGCACAGCGAGTTACTATGTGCACAGCAGTGATGCTTGTGACGCTTGGTTGAGGTGCGGGTATCAGGGAGTGGAATATTTCCCAGGGAACAGCCTGCTACTAGATGTGCTAGCACTCAGCTGACCCCTCGGGGTTAACACATTAATGCAGCTTCACACTCTAGAGCAGCGTTTCCCAACCAAATACGGGTCGCCATTACATTTCAAGTGTCTCCCCAGGGGGCTCTGCCCCCTCCCCTCCCCCCGTTTTTGAGTTGCCCTGGGTCACCAAGTCTTCCTGAATTGTCAAAATGGGTCCCCATCTGGAAAAGGTTGGGAACCGCTGCTCTAGAGGCAGCATGGCTTGAGGCAGAAGGGAGGAAACACAACAGGCATGGCAGCAGCTGCTAACACTTCCCTACGGAAAGTGAACAAGATGCTGAAACACCCCTCCCCCTCCCCACAGCATTTACACAGCTGCACAGGGGCAAGTGGATGTGAGAGACAGAGACACTGGCTGAGTGTGCTTGAGAGGCAGAGACATGCCTAGCCCATTCAAGTACGCTGATCCCACTTCAAGCCCACTGCCTTGTTAGCAGAACAGGACGTCCAGACTAGGGACCTAAAATCCCATTTAACTGGTAACCAATTAAACAATGTTTAAGAGAGAGCAGATGGGAGAACAGGCAGGGGCTCTTCTGCACCGCCGGAGCAGCCCCCCACCTGCAGCACACGCAGGCCAGGCATGGGCAAGGGCTGCTCAGGCCAGGCTGGAACGTCCGTCTGCAGCGAGCCCTGCAGAGCTGGACCAGTGCCCTGTCCGCGGCAGGCAGGGAGCTGTTGCAGCCCCTACCGGTTAGCCGGAACCAGAAAGAATCAGCAGTTAACCTTCCACATCCCTAGTCCACATACCCAGCTCTCACAGATATCCTGCTTTGGGTCGATGGGGCATGAAGTGGGGTGCTTAGGAAGGCGGGGGACATCCTGAGGTTGGCACTCCTCACCCCCTCCCCACAGCGAGCAGGAGGCTCTGGAGAGCAGCTCAAGGCAGCTGAGTGGGCATATAGCTTCCAGGGAACTTAGGGGACCTGATAGGGGCTGCCAGCTCACCTAGTTCCAAACCCCACAAGAACAGGCTGTTTTTCCAGAAAATCCTGCAAGTAGTGGACAAAGCAAGCAGTCAAGTGACATTACAAGCGCGCAGTGTACAACGTTAAACAAGCGCATGCTCTAATAGATAAGCAACACAACAGGGACACAGCGTTACCCAGGACAACGTGAAGTGAGGAATTCCTGTAAACAGGTGGGGAACCTACCACCTCCAGCTTGTCTGGATCCAACCCCACAGCCTCAGGGCTTCTCTCCTTCCCCCCAACCCCAGCACTGGGGACCTGTGCTGGTGCTCCAGTCCCCCCCCCAAATCCCACATATGGCTGGAACAACAAAATCTACTTGCATGGAGGGCAATGGCCCTGACCCAAAAAATGTTCCCCACCCTGGCTAAAAGTTGGAAGCTTACAAGAAGTGGAAACTTGGACAGATGATTAGGAAGGAGTATAAATGTATTGCTTGAGCATGCAGGGGAGTAATCAGGAAGGAAAAAGCACAACTGGAATTGCAGCTGGCAAGGGATGTGAAGGGCAACAAAAAGGTTTCTACCGGCATGTTAGCAATAAGAGGGTGATCAGAGATGTTGTGGGGCCCTTACTGGAGGAGGGAGGTAACCTAGTGACAGATGATGTGGAAGAAGCTGAAGTACTCAATGTTTTTTTGCCTCTGTCTTCACAGACAAGGGCAGCTCCCAGACTACTGCACTAGGCAACACAGAATGGGAAGGAGGTGGGCAGTCCTCAGTGGAGAAAGAACAGGTTAGGAACTATTTAGAAAAGCTAGACACACTCAAATCCACGAGTCTGGATTTAATGCAGCCAAGGGTACTGAGGGAGTTGGCAAATGTCATTGCAGAGCCTTAGACCAGTATATGGAAAGAGGAGACAAGGGGGGATATGATAGAGATACATGAGATCATGAGTGGTGTGGAGAAAGTGAATAAGGAAAAGTTCCCATAATATAAGAACTAGGGGCCACCAAATATAATTAATGGGCAGCAGGTTTAACACAAATAAAAGGAAGTTCTTCACACAGCGCAGAGTCAGCCTGTGGAACTCCTTGACTGAATAGATTGTGAAGGCTAGGACTATAACAGGGTTTAGAAGAGAACTAGATACATTCATGGAGGTTAAGTCCATTAATGGCTATTAGCCAGTATGGGTAAGGAATGGTGTCTCTGGCTTCTGTTTGTCAGAGGGTGGAGATGGATGGCAGGAGAGAGATCGCTCGATCATTACTTGTTCGGTTCA